AACTCTGTAGGATGTTTCAGACACCTGGAAAAGCTAGACTACTAGAACAATTAAAGCTACAGTCACTGCTGATGATTAAATGGATAATACTAAGTGCTAAAGCCATAGAAACACATGAGGCCACCCAGGAAAACATGGTAAATGAAGAAGAGGCAGAAATAGGGAACATGATCATTTAAATGGAGGCTAGAATAGGAATCACTGAAGGAGGAACATCAACACAATATTGAGAAAGAAAACCGAGAATAAACCATTTTAGGGAAGTCTTACTTGCTAAAACAACTGCACATATAGAGCCCAGATCTTAATAAAGGATAGAGAAGAAATCACGGAAAATAATACTACGCCAAATTTTAAGCTGAGAAGTAACCCAGTCTTCAATTCAGGAACACTTAAGACTCAAATCATCCCTATGACCTTTTCAAGCCATGCAAGTTTTAAGCAAATCACTTTACCTCTAGCATCATCAGATTTCACATTTGTAAAATGAAAAGAACAGTAATACACCTTATAAGATTACTGTGATTTTAGAATGAACTAATATGTAAAGCACTTAAGAAATTGGTATAATCACACACATCCATTTGGGAACATATAAATTGGTCAATGCAAATTCAATTCAAGGGAAAATAAAATAATCATCAAATTACTTCCCGTCACACAAAGGAATCCTAGATATTGTGCAACAATTCAGTTGGATTTCTGAACACACCAATAATATCAGTGTCAGATCAATTTAATTTCTTTTATTTGAAGAATATTGGGTTGTGTAGGTAAAAGGAAAGTAAAAGATTGAATATAGTTGAACTTTCTGTTTATCTTCATGACATTTCCATCACTTAAGTTAGAAGAAATTGTTTGGATCATTATGCCTCAAAAACAAGGTTTTATAGAAAGTTATTAAGTGTTCCATGAAAGAAGTAAGTTTGGGAAATACTGGGTATAATAGCTTACTGTAGGGTTTTAAAAGTTTTTCATATAAGAGCATGTGAATACTCAAGACTTGATAGCATACATAGCATTTGATAAATTTATTTGACCACAGAATTCTTTTAAGGGTTCTCAGAAGATAGTTTGGAGAACAGAAATCTAGATGATACTATATTTTCTTTTCTGGGGTTATAATAAGTACTAAAGAATGATTATGAAGATTTCAGCATCTATCTGTTGAAATACATATTATCCCAAAAAATCAGAGTTCAAAGAGGAGTCACTGCTTTCTCATTTATGAGATGGGAAACAAGGATCAAGAGAATTCTAATTAAGCGCGATGCTGTGTAGTTGAGAGATAGGCTTAACATCCAAAGGACAGTTAAAATAGAATTCTATCAAAAATAGAATGAAGATCAATAATAAGAAGAAACATGCCTTTCCGATAAAACTAAACTTTGTAGAAAAATAATGATCACTAAAGATATTATTTCCGTTTTCCCAAAACTTACTATAGTAGAAAAGCTTAGGAAAATAGTATGACTTCTTTATATAGAGCCAAGGTTCTTTACTCTTTTCTCCTGTCTCGATCCAATCTATTTAAAAATGGTTTGGGGATTGCTCTGGAATGTAGGGCTTCCAATGGTGTTATGAAGCCCTCAGTGAAGGGCTTGGTGTTCTCCAATGAGGGTAATTTCCTGGGTAACTGAAGATCTTCTAAGTGTCTTGTTAAAATGTCTGGAGATTGTGGGTAAGAACTGATTTTCCCATTAAAAGTATTATGCCTCATGGAGATTACACTAAATACAGAGATTATCTAGTGCAGATGAGATGGCATTTCCAGGCCACTGAGGAATTGTTATTGAGGGACCAAAGGGTGTAATGACTCCTTTATTTCTTAGGTATTGTATTATATTCTGTCATTTTGTTTCATTGACATTGACTTGGAACCAATTCATAGCTGATCCTCTGTTGGATTTCTGAGGCTATAAATTACAAGGGAGGAGATTGACTCTTTTTCTCCATTAGAATCACTAAGGAACTTGAGGCATCAGAGAGGCATGGTCTTTGGGGTTGAAGTGTAGCTCTCTATGGGCTATGCCACATGAGCTATTATTATATTGTTGTATGTGCTGTTGATTTGGAATCGACCATAGCTGACCCTTCAGAGGATTTTAAGAGGGAGTATGTCACATGGGAGAAGATTGCCCATCTTCGATACAGCAGCTGGTGGACTCAGCATCTATCTGTTGTGCCTTCGGTTTGGCAGTGACACTCTTTACCAGCACCAGGTAGAATCATGTGACTACATTTATGTGTGCAGATGTGCATGCATGCAAACAATAGCTAATGACATGAGAATCATTCAAGTGTTATGAAATCTTGTGCTTAGCTTGAATTAGCACACTAAAATTTAGAAGATTCCCAGGCAATTAAGCAGGAAACATAAAAATCTTATCACATTAAAATATAGTCAATGAAAAGAAACCAGGGTCAATATAGTTCTCTAAGGACTTACAAAGAAAAGAAATGACTGGCAAACAGAAGATATTTAATATTGATGTAAAAAGATAATTTTCATAACAGTTAAAAACTACTTGGCAATGGGAAAGATTGCCTTATTTTGAAATATCATAAAAGTAGGTTGTTTTTTGACATTCATTTGTCGAAGGAGCTGTGCTATACACTTAACACACAATAGCTTATTCAAGCCTCTCAAAATCCTTCTTGAATAAATATTTATTATTATCTTCTTGGCTCAGAGGGGAAACCAAGTCATGGAGACACGAGGTTTCCTTTTCAAGGCCACACGGTTAATGGATACAGGAACTGACATGGATCCCAGAGTCTATGCATCAAACCCCTGAACAGCTTGGACATTTTGAAGCATAGTCTGATGTGTCAGAAATACATCTCAAGGGATTTTTTGCAGTGAAAGACTTCTCTATTCCAAGAACAAATGACTGCAGAGAATCTCCGCAACCCTTTTATTTCATTTATGCCATACGAGGGATTAAAACATTGATTTGAACCTTGTCATTGTGTTCATGTTATACCTTCATATTTTAGAAGATGTAGAAAAGTCAGGAAATATAGAGAAGGTCGGTAAAAACAAAGAGAAGGATGGACAGCAGAATCCACAAGGAAAACCAAAAAAGCATTCTAATATTCCTTTGGCCAGCCAGTGAATGGGAGTTATAAATAAGGTAAAGGATTAAGGGTATAGGAGTCATTTCTTGAAAGAATAAAACAATTTTTCATTTCAGCAAGAAAGCTTGGCTAGAAAAAGAACATCTTCACAGTGAAAATTCCTTGAAATAAAGATGTTAAAATATAGTTTTAAGTAGAAGAAAACAAGGTCAAGTTGGAATGCAAGCCAATACCTTCTATAGCAGCGTGCCCTCGCTCTCTCACTTATAACCTTGGCAAGCTGACCCTGTTTGATGTTGGACCAAACCAGTCAATATTTGGGAACTCTTTTCTTTTCCATCTTGCTTCACCAAAGAAGCATCCAACCCTGAATAGTAAATCAGAGCCATTTTCATTTTGGGAGACCTTTAAACTAAATATGACAACTGTGATGGTAGGACTTCTTAGGTAGCCAACCATACACTGTTACAAATAAAAAGCTCTAGAGATTCCTTCTGTATTCATGAGTCTCTGACCCTTGAAGATTGAGGAAAACCCACAGAGTCTCCATTAATAAAATCACCTTGAAAAAAAAATCAACATTTCTGCTCAGTAGAGCTTTAATGTATTAATATTAGGAGCCAAACTGTCAAATTTTCTTCTAACAGAAAGAACTGAATACCCTTGCAGAAAAGGCAGAAAAGGGTTGTTTTTTTTAACCTTTCAAAAGATTTTTTTTTCCTCATAGAAATTTTATCATAATTTCATGGCTTGTTACTTGGTCCATTACTCTTACATTTCAGTTGATAAGGTCCTGGTTTCTGTGATATTAGATTTTAGGTTTTGGTTCCTCACAGCTGCTGCTTCTGAGAGCTCAATAACGTCATGAGTCTTGCAAGGAGCTGGTGCCTTTTCAAGTCCTTACCTCCCTGCCGCTCACCAACCTGCAGCTTCTGTTACTTCTCACTCACTAGGTGTAGTCCCAGCCTCACTCTTCCGTTGAAAGAGCAAATCTCGGGCTTCTGAGGTTGCTAATGGGGCCATCTGTGGAACTGGGCAATTTATTCTGGAAGTCATCACTTTCCCCCTTAGACATCAGGGCATACTTTCCTATGACTGTGTAGATAGTGGAGCAAACATGTGAGTGCATATGGGGCAGTCCACGTGTTAATGTTTGTGTTCTTTTCTTTATAAGATTAATGCCAGTTTCTTATCTCTTTGTTAATGTCTATTATAGATAAGGCCAAATTATGTATGTAAATGTATATACCTGTGTTAGCTCTAACTTTTGTATACTTCCTTGGGACTTTCCTTTTACTTAATGATATTCTGTTGATGACCCCTATTTTTTAAATGTTGCTTTTCCCTTCACATGCATACAATCATCCCTTTCCTTAATGAGATCCCCGACTTATGTTCTTTATCCAAAGGTGGCCTCTGCTGACAGGATCTGTGGCAGATCTGGCCTCACAGCTCAAGTTTGGAAGAAGTTAATTATCTTACCGTGCAAAGTAAGGCTCTGGCTATGACTGGAGAGGGACAAATCATCTCTCAGGTGCCCCGATATGGGAATGGAATTGTAAACATTCAGAGAAATTGTGCAAGTGTTGTTTAGATTTAAAATGACATTTGTGTTGGGGGTTTTGAAGGGCTTTGTTATTTTAATAGGAAATTAATTTGGAGGAGGGGGATAGCTGCTCCTGTCTCATCCACTTAGAATAAATTGCTTCTGTGGTTTCAATGATTTCCAATAGGCTTAATGTGAATGTTGAATGAGAGTGCTAAAAAGTGTTTACAAGAGGCAAAATGGGGGACTCGAGCTGTCAGTTGCGTTTTGAAGAGGAATGGAACAATTAGCAAGAGGAATAAAATCATGTTTGCAAGTGAAACTGAGAGGAACTAGCAGGTCATTGTGCACAAAACATGGAGCAGTTACTCACAGGTATTTGCAGTGCCTTTGGGGATGGGGAGATACGAGCCTGGACTCCAAGGCCGGCCCTGATAATTCTTCTTGCACTTCCCACAGTCTGGGCCTGTAGTGTTGTGCTCACATTCACATGTCAATTTGCTGTTGTCATATACACACACAGTGGCATGGAGATTACACTTGCACCTAGGCAGAGAAGAGACAAAGAGTTCACAGTAAATCAAGTTGGCTGCAGTGACCACTGAGCTTTACAAGCAGATCTCTTGAGCTGTGGTTTTCTCAGGGGGCAAGGCTTGAGGTCAAGACTGTGGGTCAAGTATGGACTCCAAGGCTCTACTTTTAGAATCTAAATGTCAACATGTGCAGCCCAGCCTCACAGCAGTCTGAGCTGTCCTAATACCAGTGGGTGTAGCTGGAGTCTGGAGTTTTCACAAACAAAAAAGTTGTGCTCTGATAGGAGCATTTTTCCAATTACCTGAAATAGTGCCATCCTTGGTGACACATATCTTTTAGCTTGCCTCCTAAGCTAAAGGTTGAACATTTGAGTCCACTCAAAAAGCAACTTGAAAGGAAGGCCTGGTGGTCGAAAAATCTCTTTCATCTCATTGACTTACAGTTGGAACTGACTATTAGTTGACCTGCCATTGGGTTTCTGAGACTGTAAATTGCCCAAGAGGAGACTATCTTTCTCATATGGAATCACAGTGGATTCAAACTACCAGCAACGTGAGGCTTTAGAGTTAGTAGCGCTACTCCCCATGGACTGTGGCTTGAAAGCTCCCTTCTGAGAAAGCAGTTATTGATGATCCTACACAGATCAGTTCTATTCTGACACACAAGGGTCTGCCAAGAGTCAGAAGAAACTCCACGGCATCTGGTTGGTGAGAGGCTTTTCTACAATACTATCACATTTATGACAATTTCTAAAGGGTCTGAAAAAAAGAATGGGATTTTTATTTTTCTTTTAACTGAAAGTACATTTCTTATTTGCTTAAAAGAAAGATAACTATTAAAAGGATTTGTTTTTCAGTCAGAATACCACAGACTCAAGAGGCTGTTTGTAATCTGAGTGTACTCTTGTTCTAGGCTTTAAAAGGAAATTTCTTTGGATCCTAAGAGTTTTTCCATTGAAGCTTGCAACACACTTGAGGGGTGGTAAAACCCTCAGACTTCCCATTCCTAGTAAAGAAAGTCAACACAAGGTATTCTCTGAAACCATCCTAATTACTGATAAAAGATGCTTAGAATCCTAAGAAATAAAAACCTCCGCGTGGCAGAGATGCGAGGTCATTAGCAAAGGCCTAGCCTTTGGTGACTATGAATAAGGCTGTGATATATGAGAGGCAACAACAGAATATGCAAGTTCCACAAAAAAAGTACCCCTATAGCCACAATCTTTAACTACAAAATTGCAAAGCCCAACTTGATATTTGTTGAGGCAGCAGGTTGTAAACCGCCACACCAAGCACAGGCTGCATCTTCTGAAAAGCAAAACCTAACTTGACAGAATGACCATGACTGCAGGTCAGAATAATGTATGTGTGCAGAGATATGTCCATACCCATGAGAGAGCCTGGGTTCTCAGGCCAGGGGAGAGACATGCTGAATCCCTCTGGGTTAGGATGACAATGCTACTTATCACCACCACCAACAACAACAAAATGAGCTTGACCCCTTGTAGGAACTCAGACAACACGTAGAAAGCCAAGTTTCACAGAGACAATACAATATTGTGGATTTAATGATCTCTCCTTTTGTACCAGATGTCATGAATAGGGACAGGTAATTGAATACTCCTTATTTAGAAGAATGAGATCCTTTGATAATACCAGATGCTGGTTTCTATAAGGTCTACTCTTATTAAAAAATCTGTGATCTGTCTGAAACACTGACCCATAATTGGGACAAGAAAGCAAAGGAATAGCTAAGACAATTATTAGGACCTACAAGGCTTTCTTCCAACCACAAGGTAGAGTTCCTAAAGCAAGAGCCACAAAGACTAACATCTTTGCACCTAGTCTCAGTTACCTTTAGAGTCTACCACCATTTCTAATATTTCTAGCTGCACTCAGCCCTCCATGTATTTGTGAGCTGTATGAAGTTGGTTAGCCATTAGTTAAATAAAATATACTCCACAACGACAGATGAATGACACAATTTACAGCTATCATTTGTAGACTCTTGTAAGGCCAGTGCCTGGACAAAGGACACAATAATTCCATTACGTTAAGTAGACAATGTTTAAATTTAAACTGAGGTTTATAGGGACCCTCCATCTAAGGAGCTACTTGTGTTAAGTTTCTTATTAAAGGATTGTTCTCCTTCCAGCATTAGCACCTTTATTTATGGGTATGTTTATACATATGGAGGATGTTTCAGACCTAAGTGAAAGAAGCACCAAATTATACTGATTTAGCACAGTATTTAGTGTTAAAATTCCAGATGAGGAAATGAACAACGTGACCTCAAAGAATATGCTGTTTTTAAGTGTGAAGACCAGGAGTGCAAGTATAATTGCAAATTGGATTATCTATCTTCTAACTGTTAATACTTTCATACTTGTAGTCACTCAGAGTTACAGGCAATTTCCATTCTAAAGACATTATATTAACTGAGAAAATATTCTTTGAATAATAAAAGGAGGTGAAAAGAGAATAGACAAATATTTAATCCTATTTTCTTCCTCCACTCTTTTCCAATTAATTGGTCATCTTCACATGTCCACAAGCTTATTAATCATGCTTATGAAATCAATTTATAGCCCTTCTTTGAAATGTGTCCTGATGACAGTAAGTACCAATATACCTAATCTTCTGGTTTCTTCTTTGCTGTATTTTAGGCTTGATTAATTACTATTTTGACTGTGTAAAAGTTTTTGCTCACTGAACAAGTCCCTCCTATCTTAAAGGGGGAAATGTTATTGTTATGTACCATCAAGTTGGAACTAACTCATAACCGATCCATCAGCAGGTTTTCAGAGGCCATAAATCTCAAGGGAGAATATTGCCTATCTTTCTTTTACAGAGCAACTGGTGGATTCAAACTACTTACCTTTGGGTTGGCAGCACAACTTCTTACCACTAGGCCACTAGAAATCCCTAAAAAGGAGAATACCTGCTTTGCATTCTAAAGCTCCACCTTTAACTTTCTCCCCTTCCCTTTTAGTTTCTCACACTTCCCATCTCCATGTTTCCATCTCATAGTCACTTCTTCTATCTGGTCACATTTCATGCAAAGACCACACACAACCTGCATCAGGGAACCCATTTGTTTGTCTTATGTGGCATCATAGAGGTGTTTGACTCTGTGGAGCACTCTCTCTTCTTTAAAGCTCCCCTTTCCCCAATCCTCAGGCTCTTATCAGAGCTCTTCTGAGTTCCTTCCATGTGCTGTTCTCTGTATTCTGGCTCAGAACAGTGAACACACACTCTTGTTGACATTCATCTTTCAATTACCCTCTGTGGTCCCTAACTGATTTCGTATTATAGACCTTAAAACAAACTGCTATCCTTTCTCTCTCTGGAAAAAAAAAAGAACATTCATGAAATAAATTTTAAAAATATGCAAAAATTCTAAGCTATTCAGAGATTCTCTGAAGTATATACACGTACACTAAGGATCCACAAAAATCTTTTCTCTCTCAATTCATTAGATGAAGAAATCAGAACATCACCAGGTGAAGAATATGTTGGCAAGTTTTGGTTCATTGCCTCCATTCCAGATCTATTTGTTCTTACTAGGTGCCATAGGGTTGAGTACAACTCATAGCAACCCTATGAACGGTGGAGCTAAAGTCCATCCTATCCTGTGCCATCTTCACACTTCCTGACACTCTAGAGCCCATTGTGGTAGTTACTGTCACTGTATTAATATACCTGGTTGAGAGTCTTCCTCTCCTTCAGTGACCCTCCCCACTTCCAAGCATCACATCCCTCTCCAAGGAATAGACCCTCCTAGCAACATGTCCAAAGTACGTGAGGTGAAGCCTCATCATTTTTGCCTCCAAATAGCACTCTGGCTGCACCCTATCTGAGACATATTTATTTGTTCTTTTGGCCATCCATGGGAGTTTCAAAATCCTAGTCTTCAAGGAGAAACTCGGTTTCACACTCTCCAAGACAGACCTATTGGTTTATCTGGTGGCCCTGGTATATTCAGGACTCTGCTCCAGCACCACAACTTGAAGGCATCAATTCTTCTGTTCTGTTCTGAGGACTGCTTCCTGATCCAAGAATAAGTTTCACATAAGCACAAACAAATGTTCAAGATTTCCCATTTTCCTCAAAGTCATCCACAATTTGTTGTGATCCACACAGTCAAATGCCTTTGCATAATTAATGAAACACAGATAGTCATCCCTCTGGTACTCTTTGCTTCCTTCCAAGATCCATCTGACATTAACAATAATGTCTCTAGTTCCCTGACCACTTCTTTTTGTTTATTATTCTCATTTACAAAATTTGAATACATTGTTTTCCAGAACAGTCTTCCAATTTCCCTCACCCCCCACCCATCAAATTTTACAACTCCATAATAAATCCCTCATGCCCCCTGCACATCTTCATCCCTCTGCTTCCACTCCCCCTTAGAACTTTATACTCATTCTATAATAATTTTTTTAAACAATATGTATCCTTGTGGGACTGAGTTCTTCACTCTGTATAATGCTCTCAAGTCCCTCCTAAGTTAGGTAATAATTACAAAATCATTGCTCTATTGTGTGAATGTACCATAATTTCTTAATCCATTCATTTGTTCTTGGACATCTGGGCTGTTTCCATGTTCTTGCTATGGTGAATAATGCTATGAATATTGGTGTACAAGTATCCATTTGTGCCTCAGTTCTCATTTTTTCCAGGTACATTCCAAATAGAAGAATAGCTGGGTCATATGGAATTTCTATGTTCAACTTTTTGAGGAAGCACCAAACTGCCTTCCATAGTGGTTGTACCATTTTACAATACAAACACCAATGTATATAAGAGTTCCTTTCTCCCCACATCCTCTTCAACATTTGTTACTTGCTGTCCTGTTAAACTTTGCCACTGTTACTAGAGGAGATGGTCCTCATTGTGGTTTTGATTTGCATCTCTCTTATTGCCAGTGATTTTGAGCATTTCTCTGTGAAATTTCTTTCCACATCTTTTGCCCATTTTGTAGTTGGGTTATCAGTCTTTTTCTTGTGG